ACCCTGGCGCTGCGTCATCTGCACGGCCGCGTCTTCCAGCTGCACGTGGCCCGCGAGTTCCCCTGCGCACTGCCACTCGGCGACGCATGGCTCTCGCTGGAGGCCCAGCACGGGCAGCTGGTCAACTTCTACCCCTTGGATCACCACGGGCTGTCACCCGGCTTCGACGTGCCCGGCCTCAACACGTACAGAGTGCTGCGGCTGCAGCGCAAGCCCGTTTTCAAGAACCAGTGACCCCGGGCTCGGCCTGGAACCCCCTACCCCTGGCCTCCCAGCTTTCTAGAGTGAGGTTTGGAAGGGGAGGCTGTGGGAATGCCTGTTGGAGAACCTGGGTAGTTGGCAAAGTGGAGTAGGGTGGTACTACTCAAAGTTTGGTCCGCGGACCACAGCCGGAAATTCAAATTTCTCCACATCTATGGGGGAGGAAGGATTAAGTACAGGCATTAAGAGTAAGCATTTAGAAACTTTAACAGGCAACCAAAAATTTAAGCATTGAAACAGTACTTTTGTGCCTGTTGAATCTAAAACAAAATATGGGCTTGTATTTTGTCTTTTAAAAATCAACCTAAGCAACCGGAGGCGGTGGCTCACACCTGTAATCCCAGCACTTTGTGAGGCCTTGGCGGGCGGATCACTTGAGGTCAGGAGTTGGAGACCAGCCCGGCCAACATGGTGAAACTCCATCTCTACTAAAAATACAAAAATTAGCCGGGCATGGTGGAGGGCACCTGTAATCCCAGCTATGCGGGAGGCTGAGACAGGAGAAACGCTTGAACCCGGGAGATGGAGGTTGCAGTGAGCCGAGATTGTGCCATTGCACTCCAGCCTGGGCAACAGAGCAAGACTCCATTTCAAAAAAAAAATCAACCTAAGCCCGAGCAACATGGTGAGACTCCATCTCTACAGAAATAAAATACAAATTAGCTGGGCATTGTGTCCTGTAGTCCCAGCTACTCAGGAGGCTCAGCCAGGAGGATCACTTGAGTATGGGATTTGGAAGCTGCAGTGACCCGTGTTCGTGCCACTGCACTCCAGCATCAGTGACAGAGCAATACCCTGTCAAAAAAAACAAAAACAAAAACAAAACAAAACAAAAAAAACCTTATTGAATTATAACTTACATAAAATGAAATACACATGATTGGAATACAGTTGGGTGATTTTGACAAATATTTATACCCACCACCACAATCAATATATAGAAAATTTCATCACCCCCAAGTAGTTTTCCCCTTACTCCTTCGCAGTCAGTTCTCTCTTTCTCACCTAGCCGCAGGCAACTGCTGATCTGCTTCCTGTCACTGTAGATTAGCTTTGCCTGTTCTAGAATTTCATACAAATGGAACCATACGGTGGAGTCTTGCATCTGTCTTCTTTTGCTCAGCACGCTGGTTTTGAGGTTCATTCATGTTTCTGTGTGTATCAATAGTTCATTGATTTTTTGTTTTTTGTTTTTTGTTTTTTGTTTTTTGTTTTTGAGAGGGAGTCTCACTCTGTCGCCCAGGCTGGAGTGCAGTGGCTCGATCTCGGCTCATTGCAACCTCCGCCTCCCTGGTTCAAGCAATTCCCCTGCCTCAGCCTCCTTTGTAGCTGGGACTACAGGTGCGCGCCACCACGCCCAGCTAATTTTTGTATTTTTAGTAGAGACGAGGTTTCACCATGTTGGCCAGGCTGGTCTCGATCTTGACCTCGTGATCCACCTGCCTTGGCCTCTCACACTGCTGGGATTACAGGCATGAGTCACTGCACCCAGCCAATTGTTTATTGTTTTTATTCTATTGCTCATATATGCCACAATTTGTTTATCTGTTTCTCTGTTGGTGGACATTTGGGTTGTCTCCAGATTAGGGCCATTATGAAAAAGCATTCCTATACAAGTCTGTGTGTCAATACATGCTTTCATTTCTCTTGGGTAGCTATCTAGGTGTGACTGCTATGCAGTTTTCCAAAATACATGTACCATATATATGATATATGATATATATGATATACATGATATATATGACATATGATATACATGATATATACGACATATAACATATATACATGATATATGCGATATACATGATACACTATATATGACATAGTATATGATATATAATATGTGATATATGATATATATTATATGACATATGACATATATTATATATGATATATATGGGTTTTTTTTAGATGGAGTCTCATTCTGTTGCCCAGTCTGGAGTGCAGTGGTACCATCTTGGCTTACTGCAAGCTCTGCCTCCTGGGTTCACGCCATTCTCCTGCTTCAGCCTCCCGAGTAGCTGGGACTACAGGTGCCTGCCACCTTGCCCGGCTATTTTTTCTTTCTTTTTTTTTTTTTTTTTTTTTATTTTTAAAAGTAGAGACGGAGTTTCACCATGTTAGCCAGAATGGTTTCGATCTCCTGACCTTGTGATCCTCCCGCCTCAGCCTCCCAAAGTGCTGGGATTACAGGCGTGAGCCACTGCATGCGGCCACCATTTTATATTCTTAACAGCCATATGTGACAGCTCGCTTGCCCTATGTTTTTGCTAACAGTATTGTCAGACTTTTGCATTTTAGCCATGTTCATGGTTGTAAAGTCATATCTCACTGTGGTTTTAATTGCATTTATTGAATTGTGAAAGCTATTTATATAGTATGGATACTAATCCTTTGTTAGATATATGCTTTGCAAGTGTTTTCCCCCAGTGTCTGGCTTGACTTTTCATTTTCTTAATGGTGTCTTTTGAAGAACAGAATTTTAAAGTTTTGATGAATTTCATGCCTGTTAAATCTAGTATAAAATTTGGGCATGCATTTTGTATATATTTTTAAACAATTAAACTTTTGATTTTGAAATAATTGTAAATTTGAGATAATTGTAGATTCACATGCAATTGTAAGAAATAATCAATGTATCCTTTGCCTAGTTTCCTCCAGTGGAAACATCTTGCAAAACTCTAGTGCAATAGCACCAGCAAAATATTGATATTAATACAGTCCAGGCTGGGCATGGTGGCTCATGCCTGTGATCCCAGCACTTTGAGAGGCCAAGGCAGGTGGGCCATCTGAGCCCAGGAGTTCGAGTGCAGTGGTGCAATCATAGCTCACTGCAGCCTCAACCTCCAGAGTTCAAGCAATCTTCTTGATGTCTTATGTATTCTTTCAGTCTTTCCAGAAAATTGGGGTCTCCAAGACAAATGCAGTTTCCAATTAACACCCAGAAGCTGCCATACTTCCTGGGTTATTTGGGCTATAAAAGTAATTTCATAGCCTGGTGTAGTGGCTCACGCCTGTAATCCCAGCACTTTGGGAGGCTGAGGCGGGTGGATCATGAGGTCAGGAGTTCGAGACCAGCCTGGCCAACATAGTGAAACCCCATCTCTACTAAAAATACAAAAATTTGCTGGGTGTGGTGTCACACACCTGTAGTCCCAGCTACTTGGGAGGCTGAGGTGGGAGAACTCTTGAACCCAGGAGGTGGAAGTTGCAGTGAGCTGAGACTGCGCCATTGCACTCCAGCCTGGGTGACAGAGTGAGACGCTATCTCAAAAAAACAAAACAAAACAAAAAAAACAGCTTCAGGCTGGGAGTGGTGGCTCATGCCTGTAATCCCAGCACTTTGGGTGACCAAGGCGGGTGGATTGTTTGAACTCAGGAGTTTGAGACCAGTCTGGGCAACATGGCAAGACCCTGTCTCTACAAAAAATCCAAAAATTATCCAGGTGTGGTAGTGCATGACTGTAGTCCCAGCGACTAGGGAGGTTGAGGTGGAAGGGTCCTCTGAGCCGGGGAGGTTGAGGTTGTAGTGAGCTGTGCTTGCAGCACTGCACTGCAGCCTGAGTGACAGAGTGAAACCCTGCTTAAAAAAAAAAAAAAAGTAGCTTCATTGTCACTTTGGAGAGTTTGTGGGAATCCATATGGAGGAATTATTTCCTTCATTAGAGCCTTTACAACTTTGGCAGGTTTCTCAGTTCTAGTGAGGTAAGCCTCAACCCAGCCTGGCCCTCCTGACTCCTTGTTCCATGAAATTGCTTCCCTCAGTGAAGAATTCTTTGTTGGGTTCTGTTAATAGCAAATCTGTGAGGCCCAGTCTGCTGGAGTAAACTTGATCAATTATTTGAATGCAGTCATCAACAGGAGGCTGGAGGTTCCTTGGTAGCTGGGTGGCAGGATTCAGAGTAGAAATAACTTTAAGAGTTATATTTGGTTTATCTAGAAGCATGGCTTGGTGCTTTTCCAGCCCTGGCAGTCAACAATAGCCCCCTTCTGCTTGGGCACGGGAAACACATAATGCATAGTATGTACCTTCATGGGCTGCCCAAAGGTGAACATCTCAGCTTCCTGCAATATATCACAGGTGGCAGCCACTGCCCTTAGGCAGGTAGGCCAGCCCTTAGTTACCTTGTCAAGCTGTTTTGTAAAGAAGGCAAGGAGACATTTTAAGGTCCCAAGGTCTTGAGTTAATTCTCCAAGTCCAATTCCCTGTTTTTCTTGAACAAATAAATCAAAAGGTTGGTGTAGGTCAGGGAGACTCAGGGCAGGGGCTGTCATCAATTTCTGTTTAATGGTTAGAAAGGCGTTTTGGCATTCTCTACTCAAAGGAAGGGGTTCCCTTTCTTCTTCTTTTAAAGTCTCCTAGAGAGGTTTGGCTATTAACCTGAAGTTAGGGATCTAAATTTGACAAAATCCAGGCATCCCTAAGGGACCACGTAGTTGTTTAAGGATACTGGAGACTGCCACCTGATTTATTGCCTCTGTGGTCTGGGAGAAGATTGTGAGTCCCTTGAAGCTCAGGTACTGAATGGTGGGATGAGAGATCTATGCCTCTTTCTTAGAAACTTGGTACCCTTTATGTGCCAGAAACTTTAAGACTTTGATGGCATGAAGGATGGAGTTACCCTCCATTTCACTGGCTATCAAGATACCGTCTGCATATTACAAAATAGTTCATATTAATTAACATGGAATTCTTAGGACTGTCGGATCTACATCTGTGTATTTCTTTTCTTTTCTTTCTTTCTTTTCTTTTCTCCTTTTTTCTTTTTCTTTTTCTTTTCTTTTTTTTTTTTTTGTTGAGACAGGCTGGAGTGCAGTGGTGTGATCTTGGCTCACTGAAACCTCTGCCTTCTGGGTTCGAGAGATTCTCTTGCCACAGCCTCCTGGGTAGCTAGGACTACAGGCGTGCACAACCATGTCCAGCTAATTTTTTGTATTTTCAGTAGAGATGGGGTTTTACCATGCTGGCCAGG